GTGTGTGTGTGTGTGTGTGTGTGTGTGTGTATAGACATATTTATATTTCCACTTTAAAGAAAGGTTGAATGGTGAGGAATAAAAAACATATCTGCTAAAATATGAGTTATCACCTGGGCTTTTCAATACCAGATACCAAAAGAGATTGTGGTCCCTGAGATACTCAGTATTACTTAGCTAAAAATACCATGTCTTGCATCCCCCATTCCCACATTCAGAATGAAGATATGGGACCGGAGTCCCTCCCAAATTGAATGGCTGAGAGCAGTGTCAGATCAGTCATCTCTCAAAAAGAAATAACATGTCATATCATCTCCTTGCTTTGAAACATCTAGTATCTTTCAAATGCCCAAGTCCAAATTCTTAGCACAGCAAATAATTCATCTTTAAATCTACTAAATATGTACACATATAAAAAAAAAAAAAACAGTGCCTAGTGAAAGCAAACAGGCTGTCCACTCCTTCCTAGCCATGTTACCTTTAGCAGATCACTCTGCATCTATAAGTTTTCTGCTGCACAAAAGGAGAATACTAAAAGATCTATCTTTTAGGGTTGCTATGAGGACTAAGTAAGAAACTGCATGCCAAATCCTCGCACAGATACTGGACTATCTCATCTATCTAGAATGCATCACTTCCCAAAGACAGCAGATAACCAAAGTTTAGCTTCCATGTATTTCAGAATAATTAATAACAAGAGCCCAGTTAGAAACAAAGTTCCAATTAATCCTGAATCAACAAAACCTTAAATTAACCAATATATTGTTTTCATGATAATTTATTTTTAAAAAGCAAGAATCCAAAAAAAAGGAAATATTCATGTATTTAAAAAAAAAAAAACCTAGGTTCTTTTACTTTGTCTCCCTGTTCAAACTCAGGAAGAAAAAAATGGAAATTAATAAGAATGTGGTTTTCTATAATGTAAAATCCACATGAATAAAATTCAATCCCAATTGTATACGTAATCTACTAAATACATACCCATATAACAAAACAAACTCTAGAAACTTAATAAAAGTATGCATCAGGTAGCAGAATAATTTCATTCTAAGACTTCACAATTAAAACACAAAAATCAAAAAACTTTTTTAAAAAATCAGTAATTCTAGTAATACTAAAAAATACTACAAACTCTTCAAAACTAAAAATAACAAAAATAAAGCAGATCAGAAACACTTTTCAAAAGATTAAATACTTATGGTGTCAGTGCTACTGAAAATGATGATAGGATTTCAGTAAATTTATAACTGAAGGACAAATAATTCATAGAAAGGAGAAAACAGAACTAGAAAAACTGCATTTGCTTTTCTACTATGGGCTGTGATGTTAGACGGCAAGTACTTTAATACCCATTTTTAAAAACAAAATATAAAAATGTATGATAGAATTGGTCAGCTAAATTCTGTTACAGGAAGTGTATAGCAATACCTATCTAAAGTAAATCTGGCAATCTTTTTTAAAATTGATAAAACCTTCAAACCATCTGACCTTGAAATCCCTCTCCTTGACCTTTAACCTAAAGGAAAGAAGTAAAATGATCAACAACTATATTAAATGCACTTACAAAATAAGCAACCTAGATGTCGAGCTACTAAAAAAATAAGTAATTCAACTCACTGTAACATTGTACAATAATCTAAAGGTATAAAAACTATAGCAAAAAGAAAATAAGTATAAAAGTGTTAAACATTATATTTATGATTTGATTACAGTATAAAACCAAATAGGTATGACCAAAAATAAGAAAAATTAAAAGCTTATTCTGATTTTTTAAAAAATTCTTTAACATTATGTTGTTCCAATAAAAAGCCTATTGGAATTGATCAGGCCCATCAAACTAAATACACACTTCAAAACTGACTTTTCAGAGGCATGAAACAACACTAAACAATTTTTTACCCTAAAAACCTATCACACAGGAGTAAATGGATTAGCTCTTCTCACATAAAGACAAACCATACATGCAATTTTAGCCGTGCTATTAGCCAACTCATTATATTAAAATCTCTTTTACCATCAAAATTTAACTGGGGATCTCCATCTGGTGATCAGAGGTCACTTATTACAAAGCATCTGGAGACAGGACCTCAAACACCAAAGTTAAAACTTATCTGGCCAAACAGAATGGTGAAGGTTCAGTTTCCCTTATGTTCCCAGATGAATTATTATGTTTCTCAACCATTTCAGGGCTCTAAAGCCCTAATAGTGGCAGCTAAGGATTTAAGAAGAAAATGACGCAGATTTGCACTCTGTGAAAATTTGTTTACTTCCTCATTTTTCTATACCACCACCATGAAGCAGTGGAAAATATACAAACATGAGGTCAGAAGATGTGAGACAGAGATGACACTATGCAATCTCAGGCATGTTACCTGTCTTTTCAGGCTTTAATTATTTAATAGTAAAATTTTCAAATCGAACCAAATAATCTGTAAATTCTTTTGAGTTCAATACCTGTTAAAGTAACAGACCTCTTTCCCAAACACACCAAAGTCTCTCATTACCGTTACTCAGATGGTAAAACAATTACTAAAGTTTAGAATTAGAAGACTAGAGGCAAAGGTGAAATACAAAGATGATCAAAAGACTTGGACAGTCATCTGAGCTCTGGCCCTGTCTACCCATGTGACCCTAAGCAAATTACTGCACTCAAAATAAAGTTCTGGGACTAGTAAAGCAACAATCCTTACTGGTCATGCCCTTCTTATTCCTGCATCATAAAATGGACTGTTTTTATCTGTCAGAACTAGGATTTCATTCCTAATCAGCAATGATTTTCACTTTGTTCTTGGGTTTTTAAAAGCACCTTGTACATTCATCTTTTCTAAATTTTCTGATACTGAAAAATACAGTCTAACATATTCTGCCTATTTTAAAGCTGTATTTAAGCCTGAAGCCATTCCTCCAGAACACATACAGCTAATAGTTTTGATACCTGTGCCACAAAACATTATGTGCTTAAGTTGCAAACTTAAAAAGAAACTCAAAAGCCTGGTTAAGAGAGGCATATAAACAAATCATTAACTACCAATTGGCAAATGCTATCTGCATAATGTATAATATCTTATTGGATCAGAGAAGACAAAAGGGATAAGACTTCCAGAGAAGACTCAGGTGTTATTTTAGTAAGGTTGTGAATGGCAAGTTGTTTACTAAGAAGAGAAAAATTTTCAACAGAGGGAACAGTGTAAAACCACAAAGGAAGATGTCATCTTTTGAGAGCTACAAATAGTCTTAAATGGAAAGGGCAGGCATCATGGTAGAAGAGAAACTAAAATGTAGACAAACACCAGAAATTATGAAAGCCTCAATTTATTCAAATAGATTATGAAAAGTCATCAATGGGCTTCTAAACACGAAATCAAAGTCCTCATCTTTCTCCATAAAATAATAAGCATTGAGTTAAGGCAACAAGCAAAAAATTCTACCTGTAGAAAGGTAGAATAAAAAATTAATGAATTCCTGCTCTCAAGATGGCTTCTAGCATTATATTACTATGGGATAGTAATATAACACTGAAATAAGACATTATTAATTGTGGCTAAAAAGTTGAAGAAAGTTGTATTTTTAACCCAAAGATTATTTGAGGTCAATGTCGCTGAGAACACTAAAGAAAACAACCAAATCAGAAAATAGCAAAGCAAACAATAAAGTCTGAAAAGAAAACTGACTTCGAGCAAAACATTTAGCAATGTTTATATACTTATTTATTACAGACTATAAGTCTGATTACAGCCTATAAGATATGTTTTGCACCTATCTATCTTTTGCAGAAGGAGAGTATCTTAGATTTGGGTAAACTAAAGTCTCCTTAAATTAAAGTCTCTTTTGAAAATGATGTTTTAAAAAACCTCTGGCCAAATGAATAGGTTCCGTAATAGTTTGATGTTCAGGAGAAAACAGCTACTTTGAAAAGGCTAAAGTTCATGTTATCTCTCCTTTAAGAGTGAAAACCGACATATCAATCTGAGACTACAAAAAGTCCGTGCATCAGTAATTTCCACACTGCTAAGGCCTAGTTAGGAACAGCAAGTCTAATTGGCTGGATAGCCTACAAAGATGAATTTGCAATTATTGAAATTCAAACTTAAGCTTAGCCACAAACAACCACATCAACGGAGTAATTCCTCCTCTTATCAAGAAACACGGTGCATTATACAAATGGATAAAAATAGCAGACGTCTAAAGAAGAGAAAGCAACAGCATCTGAACTCACAGCAACGGTGTGATCCACCAAAGTTTTATCTCAGGATGTATTTTTAGGGGGTCTTTGTTTTGGCCCAATAATTTAAAAAAAAAAAATCCACTCATTCAGAGCACCTCGGTACTTTTCCCTATCAACCCTCACGAGCATCCCGCCTCTGAAATCACTGGGCATCTCAGCCTCGCCCAGATTTCCCCTGAGCAAAAGGCGGCCGCCGCTGTGCCCAGTGCCGGTGGCCCACCGCCCCCGACCCCTGGCCCCCGGCGCCTGTCACAGCCCGAGGGGCAAGGGGCTCCGGCCTCCCCGCTCCACACCCGCCCACCTCAGGCGGCTCGAGGGGCGCTCGCGGGGCCGCCTTGGAAGGCTGCCTCTCTTGGGCCTCTGCTTCTCCCCCGACGCCCAAGCCTCCGCCCCGCCCTGGACCGCGCCCCCATTACGGGCTACCCGGGGCACTCGCCGCGACCCCGGCGCCAGCACCCGCTCCGGCCCTGACCCCAGTTCTCACCGTGCGGAGGTCGCACAGCCTCCTCTCGACCGTGGCCCGGTTGCGGGTCGCCCAGCGACCTGCGGGCCCCAAGACCGAAGGCTAGTCGAGGGGCCGCCGTCACATTCCGGTCGGCCCGGGAACACGACAGGACACAGCCAGCATCGCGTCCACGGCCTCAGGGAGCGCCGGACTCCAGAGCCGCCGCGCCCCCTCCCTTGGCCGGCGCCCGCCTGGACTCCGCCCTCCAGGGCCCGCTCAAGGCGCGCGCGCAGGCCCTCCCAGGGACGCCCTGCGCAGGCGCGAGACTCACGAGGCAAGGCCTCGCCTTTAGGTCCGCCCCCTCCTTCTGACTCCAGCTCGGCCCACCTCGCCCCCGCCCTCTCTCCAGCCTCCCCTAAGCTCCGCCCCAACTCCGAGAACCACCCCTCTCTGTTGACCTTGCCTCTCTGCCACCTGACAGGTTGTTGTTCTGACCAACCAGTGATGCCAAGTCTGCGTGATCCCAGGACGAATCCCTGGACTAACACTTCCTTGCTCCTTGACCTTAGTCAAACCTGTCAGCTCCTCCAGACTGAAAAGTTATTAGTGGCCTCAGCACCGGGCCTGACAGAGTTCCTCCAACATATTGTGTTTCCAAGTCCATACTGCTTCCTACATGCTCTGGGGCATTCCTGAAACACAGCGCCATGCCTACCTCACAAGAACACTGGATCTGACTGGGACTGAGGGAAAATACCATACACAGTGCCAAGATTCAAAGCTGTCCTATGGTGATATTCATCTGAGATCCTTTTACCAGGAACCAGATTATCCTTCTCTTTAGGGCTTCCATCACTGAGGCCATCTTCCCCTCCTTCTGTCCTAGAGGGCTGGACCAGCCCTTGAGACTCCTCTTTCTCTTGATCTGGCCAACAGTTGAAGCACTGGAGCTGCCCTTATCTGGTACTCTTTGAAATCCTGCTGGCCCCATCAGCTCAATTACAATAAATAAAATTTAAGAAGAATATCTTGAAAAGTATTCATTTCTTCCATGTCTCCAGATCTGTGACACTCAAAGGGAAAACGCGAGGAAAAAGGGGTAGATGCTTGGTTTCTAAAACTCAGATTTTATTTATTTATATTTTATTTATATTAGTAATATATTTTTATATTTTAAAAATAACCCATCAATTTTAATATCTAAACATGTAGATTGAATTTCTTGAGTGATAATGTGTGTGTTTAAAATATTGAGAAAGACAGGATATAAATATTCTACAATTTCTTTTTGGATTAAGTAAAATCATTAGAAAAACAAACACCAGACTGAACTCTTGGAAACACCCCTTGTTATGATTTGGATCTGGAATGTCTCCCCAAAGCTCCTATGTGGAAAGCATGGTCCTCAAAGCAGCAAGGTTGAGAGGTGAGGCTTTTAGGCAATAATTGGATCATAAGGGCTCTGACCTTATCAGTGGGTTAATACTTTTCCTGGATTATTCCATTGCTAGCTACTGGCAGGTGGGACCTAGATGGATGAAGTAGGTCACTAGGGATGTACACTGGAAAGATTTATCATCACCCCCCCTCTTGCCCTGCTCTCTCCCAGCTTCTATGAGCAGCTTTCCTCTGCCACTTTCACCATGAGATTCTGCCTCACTTCAGACCCAAAGCAATGGAGCCACCCAATCATGGACTGAAACCTCATAAACTGTGAGCCAAAATAAATCTTTCCTCCTCTAAGTTGCTCTTGTCATATATTTTAGACACAGTAAGGAAAGGCTGACTAAAAGGCTCCTCAAGCATATCACTCAAAATATGTAGTTACTAAAATGTGCTTTGGGATTTATGTCCTCAGTTAAAATTGAGAAATGGTAAAGATTATCCTTGGGGATTGGACAAAATACTACATTTTTAGCAATTTCCATATGAGGGACTAAGAAGAAAAATCAGAGTTCCCAAAATCAGGAAGAATTTTGTTTCTTTACACTGCTGGATTGTTATCTTGAGATTTCCTAAATATTTGAGGTGATCATATGTTCTCTTTTCTTCAGCAATTGTGAAGTACTAAGTCACCTGCCCTTCCTTTTCTACAAAGATAAAAGTCTTACTGGATGTTTGCTCTATATGAATATTTCCCAGCTTCAACTAATTTTTTCTATTCCTATTTTGTCTTTGCCCCAACTTCTTCATTTCCTTGGTTGTCATTATGTCACATTGATTATTTTTCTATTAGCCATTTGTTTCAATGTGTACCCTTGGGGTTTTAATTCATGAGATGACTATAATGACACACATTAGTCAATGCACTGGAAGAAAGTGTTTATTGCTTACATTTCCAGAGAGCTAGGAACACTACATGCCATTTGGGACTATTTGGAGAAGCATCAGGTTTGGTAAGAAAGCAGGTTTTGGTAAGAAAGCAGAATCAGTGTGAGGGAAAAGTCCATGACAGAGCTTTCATTGTTGGTTGGTTTTTTGTTTATTGGTTTTGGTTTTGGTTTTTGGGGGGTTTTTTTTGGTGGTTTTTTTTGTGTGTGTGTGTGTGTGTGTGAAATGCAAGACAGGAAACAGGGAAGAGAAAACAGCCTGGGATTGACTGATCTGAATAATGTCAGAGGACTCTAGGGTATAAGGGTGGTTTCTAATTGCCTGATGCCTGGCCCTGAGAGATTTAGAGCAATGGAAATATTGGCATGGTGTGTGAAAGTTAGATAAACGGGGTGGTTGAGAGTATGGATTTAGAATTGTTTGGAAGGTATATAATAGAATTTTTTTTTTTTTTTGGTATTGGGATTTGAAGTAGGTCATTCTTTTTCCTAGTGCTTTTGCAGAGTTTATAAACTAACAGGTGTAGATCAAATTTGGCCAACAAGTACATTTCATTTGGCCCACACTATGATTAAAAAAAAATTTAATTAGTTACCAACATTTAAAAATCAATAAATTTAACATAAAGTTCCTATTTCCAGTTCCTCCAGTTGTCTAGAATAGCATCAGGCCCTTTCATCTTTTGCTGACTCTGTCTTTCACTAGATTTTTTTTTCCTGCACTTTTTTTACTGTGGTAAAATATACATAACAAAATTTATCCCCTCATTTTGTATAGCTCTGTGGTATTAAGTACAACCATATTGTCATGCAACCATTACCACCACTTCATCTTACAAAACTAAAACTATATACCTATTTAAAAGAATTTTCCATTCTACCTCTTTTCAACCACTGGCAAACTGCTCTCTGTCTTTGTGAATTTGACTACTCTAGGTACCTCATATAAAGTGGAATTGTATAGTATTTATCTTTTTGTGACTGGCTTGTTTCACTTAGCATAAAGTCTTCAAGGTCCATACTATGGTGTGTGTAGAATTTCTTTTCATTTTAAGGCTGAATGATAGGTCTCTATGTGTATAAACCACATTTTGTTTATCCATTCTTCCCTTGATGGATACTTGTGTTGCTTCCAGCTTTTGGCTATTGTGAAAAATGGTGCTGCAAACATGGGTATGAAAATAATTCTTCAAGACTGTTTTGTCAATTCTCTTGGGTTTTGTTTTCATCAGCTTTTTCATCACTGTGACCAAAATACCTGAAAAGAACAATTAGAGGAGGGAAAGTTTGTTTTGGCTCACTGTTTCAGAGATCTCAGTCCATAGATGGATGTCTTCATAGTTCTGGGCCCCAAATGAAGCAGAACATCATGAGAAGGGCATGGCAGAGAAAAGCAGCTCTGGATATGACAACAAAGAAGCAGAGAGAGCTCTAGTTACCTGGGACAAAATATAAACTCCAATGTCACTCCTCCAGTGGCCTACCTCCACCATCAAGCATACCCTACCTGCCTAGAGTTACTACCCACTTAATCCAGATCAATGGGTTAATCCGCTGATTTGGTTACAAATCTCATAATTATTTCACCTATGAATATTATCACACTGTGTCACACATAGGTTTTGGGGGAGACATCACTTATCTATTTCATAACAGGTATATATCTACAAGTAGAATTTCTGAATCATATGGTAATTATATTTTTAATTTTTTTAAGAAAATGCTAACCTGTTTTCCATAGCAGTTTAGATTTTTGTGCTGAATACACAAAAATATATATTAAACTGCTTAATCCTGATAAAGGTGAATGTTTTTCTCTTGTGAAAATTAAACTATTTAAATATCACATAATAAGAAGCAACTGAAGTTAATCATCCTGACTATAATGTGAGCTAACAACGGGCCAGTAAGAGATTTAATTGTTAGAAAATTCTGTATGTGCTAGCTCTGTAGTTACACATTTTAAATCTCCATGAAAGAAAAATTTCCCCCAAATTACCAAAGTCACTACAAGGTGGAAGAGATCTGAAATATAAAAACAAACTCTAAAAGAATTCAAAGAAATTGTTCAAAAAGTTGATAAAAGATACTTCATTTTGAATACTTTGTTTTGTTTTTTGTCGTTGTTGTTGTTGGTTTTGGTGGTGGTGGTGTTGGTGGTATAAGAGATCGAACTCAGGGCCTCACACATGTCAGGAAAGCACTCTATTGAATATTTTAAAATAAGTTATGTTTTCAAGGAAAAACACATTACCACAAGAAAAATGTGAATCTGAAAAATAACTTGTGCTAAGAACCTACTCAAATCAATGATTAAAAAAAAAAATGGTCCAAATCCTAAAATGGGGAACAGCCTTAAATAGATATACCAGAAAAGAAGATCCATAAATGAACACATGAAAAGGTGTTTAACATTAAATTAAAATCCAATGACATAGTTCTTCATACCTTCTATAATGGCTGCTATAGTTTGAATTCTCTAAGACTCATGTTGAAATATGAATGCCATTGCAACCTAGTAAGAGATTGGCCTTTATGAGCCAATTAGGCCATAAGATTTCCACACTCGTGAATGAATTAAAGTCATTATTCCAGGAGACAATTCCTGGAAAAACAATGAATTCTGCATGATTTCCTCCTTTCTCTGTTTTACCCATGCTCACTTGCCCTTCCACCATTTTTTTGATGCAGCAAGAAAGCCCTCTCCAGATGTGGGCCCTTGACCTTGGACTTCTCTGTCTGCAGAACTGTGAGAAATAAATTTTCTTTGTAAATTATCCAGTCTGTTACATTATCCAGGTGTTCTGTTACAGCCACAGAAAAGGGTCTAAGACAATGACTAAGAAAACTTTTAGACAACCATAAATTTTGGGAAGAATATGGAGTGACTAGAAACCTAATATACTGAGATATTTAAATGGTTAAACTATTTTAAAGTTCACTT